GGAAGGTGCGGGGTGAGTCAGCGGTGCCCGGCACCGCCCGTCCTTCCCTGCCTGTGCTCCTGGGCCCGCAGCAGCAGGAAGCGGAGGGGCCGTGCCCTCCGGCTGCCTCGTGGTGCTGTTAGCCCGGGGGCGACTGCCATGGTCCAGCACGAGGCAGGAACCTGCAAGTCTGGTGCCTGGGCAGGACAACCTCCCTCTCTCGCTGCTGCAGGGACTGCCACCGCGGGAATGGTGATGTGCCAGTCTGGGGGCAGAAGGTGCCACCTCCTGGCCAGGCAGAGCAGCCCTGGTCGCCAAGGGCGGTGGTGGCTCCTGTGAGGCCTTTGGGAGCTGCAGGTCCAACCTGCAGCCTCTGCCCGTGGAAGGCCTGGCTCTGGAGGGTGCTTTTCAAAACTTTGGGAAGGCTGAGAGCAGCTGGCCTTGCTTGGGTGATGCAAGTCCTCTGTCAGGTGCCACGGGCTTCTGGGTGCACAGAGCTCCCACCAGCAGAACTGCTACAAGACACCTCAGTGGGCTGACAGCACTGCAGCCTGGCTCCCACACCCCACTCTGGAGGTCCTGGCTGTGGTCCTTGGTGATGTTTGCCAATACGTGCATATTTTCCTCCTCGTTAGAGTTTAATTAAGACTGCAGGAGTTTGTGATGACTTAGCAGGATGATTTGTCCATAATCCAATTTAGCAGTTGTCCATAACCCGTTTTGGGGAGAAAGGTCTTTTCCCATCAACCTCCCTTGGGCAGAAGGTTACTCTCAAGAATTTTACTCATAAGAAAAATCATTTGTATGGAAGTCTGCATCACATCATTCTTGTTTATACCATTTTACCTTGGGACATTCTGAAGTCTGGGGATCAGTGACTAAATACTTGTCAATTACAGCTGCTGCATCTTCCACATCTCAGTGAAACCAGTAAAAGGGCTTTGGGTTTCATTACCTGAGAGATTTCTTAATTCTTTTGATTTTAGGAGGTGGTGTGTGACAATTTTTACAAGTTCTAGTTAAGGCCAGGAGTTAAGTCATTAATAAAACTATTTCTAAAGCCCCTGTCAGTCTGCCTCTGTATTTGAGTAGGCAGCCAAGTTCTGCCAAGGCTGGTGGGCATTTTGGTGTTCACATGTGCTGTGCATGGCATCCCTGTAGAGATTATATTTGGTCCCTAGATCCAGAAGAAGGGTTTTCTCTGGAGAGTCTCTCCTTTTAAATGGGTTGTACTTCACCGTTTACCTAAGTTGATTCTGATCTATGATGCCAAGGTGAAATAATATGTGTAATCTTTAGTTGTTGTGGCTTACTGTAATCCAGTGCTGAAAGCATAATGCATAACTTGTAAGAACCCCTCATTTTTATCATCTGCTCTCAATTATTATATTTTAGAAACAAGTTTCATATTACTCAGTATTGACTTAAACAGAGGAATACTGCTGAAATTATGAAGTCAAGCACTCAGAGATAAAACACTGTTAGCTGTCAGACTGATGAGTATATTCATCTCTCATTTCTTTCTTTGGGCTTACATGGTGTCACATCTGCAGGAATATCTGTGCCATTTCCTTGATTATGGGACAGCTGTCTCCAAGAAGGTTCAGGACAAAGCTGGGACAAAATAGCATGAGAAACAATAGCATTTGACACTTCTGACAATCTAAAGACTTGACTTTGGTGAATTATTCTTTTCTTGTTAGTCTGATTTGTAATATTAATTTATCTTCCTTCTCAAACTTTTAAACTCAAAAATTACTTTATTTTTTGTTTGGTCCCACTAGCTAATATGGTATTTGTTCTTAAAATTTTTTCTTCCTCTTAAGTTCTGTAGCCAGCATTATTGCACTAAATGGATTGTGAGCACTTTACTTTTCCAGGTAGCTGGAGTTGCAGATCATTTTGTTTTAAGTGAAGATCTTCAGAAAATTCATAAATCAATGTATTTGATTAGAATGTTTGTCTCCATTTCCCTCTGTAAATAATATCAACTATGTTTATGTAGTTATAAAACTATTGCTATGCCTGTATGCCTTGACCAATAGACTCTGTATTACATTTTTCTATTTTATGGGATCTGGACTTTATTTTGCATATGTATTTATGCAGTGGTACATACATAGTATTTTAAGTCAACATCGGTGTGTGTTAATTTGGGGCTTTGAGAAATACTAGTGGTGTCTGGAAAAAAAAACAGAGCCTGTCACCATCATGCAGAGTTAAAAGTTGCACCAAATCCTTAGAAATAACTTTAAAAAGAGGCATTGCTTACTTGCTGATTCTCTTCCTTTGTCAGATATTTTGTATTTTACAGAAATTACTGTATATGGTCACTGGTGAACTGTGAGCTGGAACGTGATGTTTCCCTTCTGGAATCCAAAGGCTTCAGATATTCTGTTTAAATTTGCAAGTTATTGATTTAAAAAAGATGCATGAGTTTAGGCAGGAAAATGATTTTACGCTGTGCTGTTTTTCAGTGATTCCTAAAGGTTAATTTTGATTTAGTCCATATCATTAAAGGTTGCTTCCCAGCAATTATTTGTGGATGTTTGTAAATGTATTTATTACACATGTACAGAAGCAGGGAAATGGGGAGAAGGATGGAGAAAAGACGTAACTGGTTTTCACATGTTTGTAATTAAGCTACCTGTAACCATTTCAGCATGTCTGCAGCTCACTGATCCTTTGCTGAGTCACTCAAAAAGACCTCATGATTTCAGAACTTCTGCTGTTCTTTGGTTGGAAAAATAAATCTTTTCAAGAATCAAATAGAATAAAATTTATATCTGTAAATATAATATGTATCTAAGTATATATAAACTATATTGGGAAGTATTTTAAATAGTTCTCTAGTCTTACTTTCTACAAATGAGTAATTAAGCATCTTACACTCTATAGGATATACACTTTATTAAAAAAAGAATTTGTATGAAATGCAGCTTTCTTAATGTGTGTTCTCCTTCCCACAGACTGGAAGACAGCCTCAGGAAGAGAGGAAACTTTTATTTGCCAGTATCATAACAACACCCCAATGGATTGAGTAAGTCCAATACACATCTTGAGAATTCTTTGAGTACCGGGGGCTGAAATGCCAAGGCAGATCTCCAGCATCTGTTTATCTAAACAGACATTTTCCAAACCTATGTTGTTATTTCCTAATTGTTCATTTAGCCCAGCTTCTCTGCAGGGGAGGTTTGTGTGGATGTTCACTGGGAAAATGGCTGCAGCAATTTTCCATTGCTGTTCCTGTGCCCCAGGAGAGAGTAGGCAATGAGGAGCATGAATGAGATGAACTCAAATGGAAGATATGCCCAGAGTAGCAGTCTGCAGGCTGGGGAGAGTCTGCAGTGGGGGAAATGCATTATCAGCCATGGATTTAAGCTGTATGTGTTTGTTTGTTTTGTTCTTGCTTTTTCTAGGACCCAGGGACAGCTTTCTCTCAAAAAAGGATAACAAATCTTGTTGCAATAGCCAATGGAACAGTCAGCAGAGGAAATCACAGCATTAGAGCAGAAATGAAGATTTTGGATTGTGTGAGTATAATACTAACTAAGCTTACAAGAGCTACTTAAACATGAGGAATGTACAGAATTACTGTCAGTGCAGTGAAGAATTACTGTGCTGGAGGTTTGAGCTTCACCCACAGCTTTCTTCAAGCCTGGCTTTTGCTGTGTGCCAGCCTGATAAAACCCTACTCTGCTTCTGCTTTATGCCTATTCCTTTCAGTTATTTTTGATTTGCTGCATTTTTTTTTTTTTTTGGCCCACACAACTCTTTGGGGAAGAAGGGATGGAATACAATTCTGTCAGAACAATGCTTCTTCCTACCAAGAAAGGAAAATGTTTGCTCCTTTTGCCCAAGCTCTTGCTGTGAAGTATTTAGTGAAGTGTTTACAGCAACACACCCTTGAACCTACATCCCTAAGCACTCCATTATTATCTACAGCCCCCTTAAGCAAGAGGGGCTCTTCATGGCTCCAGAGAAAAGTATCAAATAATCTTTTGAAAGGCAGGTTCAGTCCAAAGTGTAAATGGCATTCAGTGCTCACAACTACCTGCTACTGGTTTTCTCTACCAAATTCCAGAAGCCTCAAACACACCCTTTTCCCAGCCCTGCACCTCTCACCATTTGCACAGTACTAGAAATGTTTACTGTAATTTGTTCTCAGCCCTCATCTGCTGTCAGCATCACAGCAGCTGAGAATTATGCTTTATATGCCAAACATGCTGATTTTTCTCTTTTTTAGAGCTTGAGATGTCCTGTCCTGGTACCCAGCACTGTGCATCCGTGCACAGAACCCACAGATTCCCCAGAGCTGCCTCTACAGAGGCCCAGAGGCTGTGTTCTGCAGCACACACTGTTCTTCTGAGCCACATGAACAGTTCATACATCTGGAAATAGTCATTAATTTGGTCCATAGGAGAGACAGACACAGTACTTCATGGACAATGAAGAGGGAGTTAGGTGAGGCACTGCCAGACTCTCCCCTTAGAACTTCCTTCATTTACCTCCTGTTTCCACTGAGCCATGCAAGATTAGTGTGTGATGCCAATGGTCCCTCACCCTCCTGCCCTGCAGAGCAGCCCCAGAGCTCCCAGTATGGGAAAGGGCATGGAAACAACTCTTTTACTGCCTTGTGGATGCTGTGGGAGGCTTTATTTAATAACAAGGAAAGCTTGAGGTGTTACGTGGGCTTTGTTTTGGTTTTGTTTGTTTGCATTTTTTTAAATTGGGCCAAAAGGCAGGGCTCCATAGAACTGTCTTAAAAGAAGCATTACAAGCAGACCTTGTGTTCAAAGGGGAAAGCTATAGAGAGGAAAAGATGTGTGGTACATTTGGATTATGGTCTGATGCCAACCTTCCCCTTGGAGCAAGAAAAGGAATAAACTAGAGAGGAATTTCCTAGAAACCAGTGCACCAGAGTGCACTTAGCATTTTAGAGAAAATGTGATGCTGAACATATCAAATGCATGGAAGAGGGAAGTGTAACAGAAAAACAATACCACTTTCCATAGCCTCAGTCACTTCCAAGAATAGCTTTTAATCACCTCATCTCTCATCCATGAGCAGAAATAAAACCACTCTTTCTCAGTATTGTGAGAGGAAGCCAGGCCCTTTTTTTAAAGGGTTTTGTCAACTCATCCTCTGTTGGGCTGGTTACACTAACAGCTTTATGGAGATGCAACACTGGAAACCTGGCTTTGCCTGAATTTGTAGAATCATCTAAGAGTTGCACCAAAGGAAACCCCAAAAAGCTTAGGGGTGCGTCTAAAATAGGAGAGAGACTTTGGTGGGTTTCTTGTCTCTTGGAACAGGATGAAATATGGGATTTTACAGTAGGACTTGTAACTCACTCCCCCAGTTCCCCTTTACATAAGACTGAAATCTTTCTCTTTTGTTTTTAAATGAACAAACAGGCCCAGAACCTCTCTGGAGAAAGTAAACAGAAAACCAGCTGCATTTCCATTTGCATCTGTCTGTGTACTGCTCTGTGGCAGTAAACCACAGCCAAAGTCAAAACAAAGGCAGCTGGCAGAGGATGTGCCACTACTGCAGGCAGAGCACCTGGAGCCAGTGGCCTGCCTGGGGAACTTCTGGAATGCTCCCACACAGCACCAGAGCAGCAAAACCTCTTCTGTGCACCAAATGTGGCAACAGAGAACGTGGATTGAGAGGAGTCTGGAGGAAGCAGCACATGGACGGTGCGGAGTGCAGAGGTAACATTTTAATGGGGTCGGATGCACGGACAGGGCAGAAATCCTCGGGTCTGGGCGGGCCGGAGCAGTCCCGGGACGGAACAGCCCCGGGCCGCTCGGGACCCTCCCGTCCGGGCCGTGTCAGGGCGCGGTGCCGGTGCTGGTGCCGGTGCTGGTGCCGGGCTCGGCCGAGCCGTCCGCCGGGGCAGCCTCGGGCTGCTGCTCGCGCTGTCGCCGCCGGCGCAGCCTCTCGGCGCCGGTCACCGTCATTGGATGGAGCGGCAGGAACCCCGCCAGCCCTGCCCGGTGAGACGCGGTGAGAGCGGCAGCGAGCCCGGCCCGCCCGTCCCCAGCCCCGCGCCCGCCCCAGGCCTACCCAGCAGCTTCTCGGCGGGCCGGGACAGCTGCGCGCCGCAGCCCAGCCAGTAGCGCAGCCGCTCCAGGTTGAGCCCCGCCACCTTCTCGCCGTGCGCGTTGGGCAGCGGGTCGAGGCAGCCCAGCTGCTCCAGGTACTTCCCGTCGCGGGCCCGCCTGCTGTTGGCCGCCACGATGCGGAAGAACGGCCGGTTGGTGCAGCCCCCGAGCGCGAAGCGGATGACGACGTGGCCGCCGCGGCCCCTCAGGAGGCGGCTCCCTGCGGGGAAAGCGCGGGGCGGTCACGGCCGGGCCGAGCCGAGCCGGGCCGAGCCGGGCGGAGCGCGGCCGCTCCGAGCCCGCCGCACTCACCGAGCTGCACCATGGCGGCGGCACGGCCCGCGGGCGGCGCGCGGCGATGACGTCACGGCGGGAAGTGCACGGCGCGGCCCCGCGCGGTGGCTGCCGGGAGTTGGAGTCCGCGGTGCCCCGGGCCGTGTCCGACCCTCCCGGCATCCCTTAATCAGAGAATCCAGAAAATCCAGAAAATCCCTGAGTCCCTGGGGATCCTTTGGGCAGTTCCCAAAAAGAGCAGTTTGTGCTACCCTGGGGGTGTGTGTCCCTCCCTTCACCCTCACTGCAGTTTTCCAGTTCAGCACTGGGACTGCACGGTGCTGCCTCCCCTCTGCACTTTGGCACCTCACTGCTGACTTGGTGTTGCTTATGACAGCTCAAAAATCCCAAACCCTCAGCAGGAAAAACACAGCATTGTGGACCAGGCCACAACATCCATGGCAAATGTCTCATTCTCCAGCCCAAACCCTCACCTCTGCCCTGCTCTATCACATACTTTATTTCCAGAGGTGCATTTTAAATTCCTTCATTCGAGACAGCCACTCCAAAGGAGGAAAAAACACCACTTCAAACAGGAGTCAGGAACAGGCACAGGAGCCAGTGATGCAGATAAAGTCATGGCCCTTCTGGGTCCCACACCAGGAAAAACAAGAGGAAATGTCCCTCTGCAAGGGCAACAGCATTCCCCTTGGGATGTCACAGCTCATTTCTTCCCTGACCCAAATGCCACCCAGGACCACACATGGATTTTGATCAGCTCCAGGGGACAATGTTGCTCAATGCTTGTCACTTTTCTGCTCCAATCAAGTGGCTCTGTGAGAACACCAGGACACAAGTGACTGGTTTTGGCATCATGGAGTACCTGGCCTGACCACAGAGGTCCTGCTTTACCTAGGCAGCATCTTGGATTCTCCAAGAGCCAAAATGACAACAATTATATTGGAACTTTTCCATTGCTCTAGGTTTGACCTAAACTCCAACTTTCCTCTTAGTGAGTGGATTGGGAGGAAACATAAAACGCAAATAGAGGGAAGGGACGTGTTCCAGATCTACCTTTGCTAATGCAGCCCTGTCCGGTGCTTTCCCTTTTCCCTACCGAACCACCCGAGTTTCTTCAGCAGAGGGAGCTCCAGCTTTACGTGTGACCCCCTCGCCTTTCCTGAGGATTGCCCAGAGGAGCTGGGAGCTCGCTCCTGCTTCTGGAGCCTTCCCTGGGCAGCAACACCCACCCACCTCTGCTGGGTCCCTTCCCCTGGAGATCCCCACCCACCTCTGCTGGGTCCCTCTCCCTGGGCAGCAGAACTCACCCAGGTTTCCCCGGGCATCCTCAGCCCTACCCGGGCAGCCCTGCGCCATGCCATGCCATGCCATGCCATGCCATGCCATGCCATGCCATGCCATGCCATGCCATGCCATGCCATGCCATGCCATGCCATCCCCTCCATGGCTCCCGATGGTCATGGATTTCAGCTGGAAACAGCCTGAGTGCTTTGGAAAGGCTCACCTTGCCCGGCCCCTCACCTGCAAGGCTTGCACCAAGAAACCAACTTCTCATTCAGCAGCCTCCCACCCAACACAACCTGAGTCACAACAAACTCAGGCACTAGAATTGTCAAAAATGACCCCAAAAGTGGCTGTGACCCAGCTGGCACCGTGGCTGCAGTAGCCTTGGAAACCTTGGCCATGCTGCAGGCTGGGTGAGTTTTTCCTGTTTGTTTTGTTTAGTTTAGGGTTTTTTCCTCTCCTTTTTCCAAGCAATTATCCTGGCAGCACAACACAGCTCCGTGCTGGCGATCCCATCAGCTGGGGACACAAATGGGAATGTGTATCCCAAATCCCACAGGGGCCCTGCCACCTGCCAGGGCTGCCAAAGAACCTTTTTTGCCCCCATTTTACTTATTTTTATCTACTATCATGCACACACACACACACAAACAGGTGTTGCAGCCTCAGGAAAGGGGACAAACACTGCTGTCAGGGGGATGCTGTCACCCATCAGTGCTTCTCCATCCCTCCTTGGTCCTAGACCACCACAGCCTTCTACAGCAGAAAAAAAAAGGGGGAAAGGCCACACTTGCCACCACCAAACCCCAGCTTGGCCTCACAAGCATTGCAAGATTTCATCACGCTTCATGTCAAGGCGGAAGCAGCAGATTTGGCAATGCAGAGCTTCTCTGCAAACCTCTGCCAGTCTGAAGCCATTCACTTTAGACCTGCCACTCCCTGCCTTTGTCCAAAACAACAGAAATTAGGAAATGCAATAGGAAATAATGATTAACAAGAGAAACTGTCGGGTGGTTTTGGGCCAGCATTTCTACTCCACCTTTGTTTTGGTCACTTGGACTCCTCTCATACCTTGTATCAACTGCAGCACCAAGGCAGCCTCTGCTGAGCCACAACATGGACATGGCCCAGGGGTGGGTCAGCGGCTGCACTCGATGACCTTGGAGATCTGTTCCAACCCACACCATTCCAGGATTACATGGATATCAGCACCACACTGGCAAATCCCACCTCCGAGTGCCCCAGGGAGCCCGTGGCTGGATGTGCTGATGGACTCTGTGGCTGATGGCTTTGCTGGAAGCCTGCACAGGGCTGGGCTGCCCATGGAACAGCATCTGCCCATGGATCACAAAGCTTGGGAAGGGCCAACCGTGCACGAGTACACAGCACACACACACACAATGTACACAACACACACACTATGCACACAACACACACACACAGAGCATACACAACACACACACACAACATTTACAACACAATGCACACAACACACTCACACACAATGTACAAAACACACACAAACACAACATACAAAACATTTATTCAGACCAGTCTGCCTGCACAGGATGCTCAGCAGTGGTTTCACCCCTGGCACTGGCACACGCAGCTCCCAACCCCCCAGAGTCACCCACTTGCCTCGAATGGAGCACAAAACACAACAGGGAAAGCAGCAGAGGCACAAAATCCATCCTCTCCCTGAGGAGCAGGAGGCCCCTTTCAGCTGCTTCCCACCAGCCAGCAGAGACCTTGGCAGGAGTCAGGGCTGGCTCTGGGCCACCAGCCCAGCACAGTTGGGAGCCAGGGAAAGCCGTGGTGCTTCTCTGGCAAGGCACTTCCCCTTCCTCAGAAAGAAAAGGCACCCAAAAAAAGGAACATTTTCCATTTGGAAAATCCTTCTGCAACATCAGTTTGGTGGCTTGGAAAAATCTTGCTGGAAGAGAGGGGGAGAGGAGATGAGAGGATGCACTGGGTGGTCTCATATCAAACACCATAAGTGACACTTTTGGCATGTCCAGCCTTCATTTACTTCACAGCAGCAGAACTTCTGGTGTTGAGGTTTCTTTCCCCACAGTCCCAGGGAAAATGAGTCCCATCCTTGTGCTACAGCACATCCTCCACGTGGCAGCTTCCAGGGAGCCCTGGCTGCTTCTGCACCCCCACACCAACCCCCTCTTGGCACGGTGGGTTTTAGAAAACCCTCAACCAAGCAGCATCACAGATTCCTCTTTTTTTTTTTAAGGCATTTGCTGGCTCACTGGCATTTTCTCCTGGATCTCCTCGTACTTGGGCGGAGGGGTGAGGGGCTCTATCGTGATGGGGACGCTGCTGCTGTTGCCCTGCTCCAGGTTTAGCCTGATGTCCTTCAGGTGCAGCTTCTCTGACTTGATCCTGCGCACCTTGAGGGGCTTGAGGCGCTTGCTGAGGCGGGAGCTGTGCCGGCTGGGCGGCCTCTCCGGGCCCGGCTCCCCGCCCGCGGCCCCCGGGGCTGCACTGCCCTCCTCCAGCCCCGCCAAGGACTCGTAGGAGGGCAGGGACACGCTCAGCCTGTTGCTCCTGTCCGAGTCTCTGGGCTCCGAGTAGCCCGTGTTCATCACCTCCTCGTAGCTGGGCACATAATATTGGGAAGAGATGTCTTCATCCTCTTCTTGACTGGAGGGGAAAGAGTTAAGTCTGGGTAGCATTTCAACTTCGTTGTGGGAAGGGGATGGAGAGGGAAGAATAAAACCACCCCACCCCACCAGAAATAGTTGTTGCCCTTCTCTATTATACGCCAGTTTCCTTTTGCTTGACCGAATAAATTGTGACCCCACCTAAATTCAGACGGATTTTATTTTCTTGTGACTTATATTTGATCATCACTTTCTCTGCCCACAGACCCTTTTCTATTCTATTCAGCAGTGATTTCTTCCCTCAAGAGAACATCAGTTTCTCTCCTTCACTCACAAAAATCAGTCAAAATATATTAGGAAAGGACATCACCCCTCTGTCTTTGTCATTCTGATTACTTATGGGTTGGGTACCTCGGGTTTTTCTGCAAAGAGATTCAACTCTATGCCACCATCTATGCACAGGTACCTGCACCCAATACTTGCCATTTCTTTGGTATTCTGAAGTTAACTTTCCAATCAAACATGGAAAATCAGTTTTCTCCGAGGATCTGCAGACCCTGACAAGAGCCAGCAGAGCCATTGTCCCCTTGCACCCCACACTGTCTCAGTGCTCCCCTGCCTCTCTCTGCTGATGGACAGGTACTTCTTCCATGCCTGTGTTTGTCCAGACTGTGCCTGCTGTGGCAGCAGCCTTTGCTCTGCCCCACAAAGCTCCCTGAGCAAACAGCTGAGCCCTGCAGACTTTCACCAGGTCTAAACTCCAAGGCCATTCTCCAAGGCTGTTTGGCACCTTGGCTGCAGCCAGCGAGGCAGAGTCAGCTCCCCTCCTGCCCCTCTGGCTGTGTGGCAGGAGCCTCCTGCTCTCCGTGTCACCCACGACCCTGCCCAGCGCTCCCTCAGCTCGCTCCTGTGCCAACCCCGCCAGGAGTGCACCTCTCCCAGCGCTGCCCTGGCCACAGCTTTGTCTAGAGCCCACCTCACACACCCACCAGCAGGGCTCCTTCCACTTACAGCTGCCTAAATGCAGCTGGAGCCGTCCTTCCCCATCTCCAGCACGTACCAAACCCCCAAACTACGGAATGTGCGTCCTCATTTCAGCACATGCTGCCTTCCTCTCCTTGCTCCAGATCTTCCCAAGTACCAAGAGCCCT